AGTTAAATCCTCATCCTATTGGACTCCATCTGTACTAGCTCATTCCTACAAGTTAGACCAATTGACTATGCATTATAGTAAAGATTCATTATTCATGCTGACCCTTCAATTCACTAACCATCACATTCCCCACCCAAAAACAACTATGTGCTAATATTTAACTATGTGCCTTCCCAATTACAACTGTATATAGGTCTCACATAAACCAATTTGAACAATCTGTTTGATTAATAGTACCTCCCAATGGACAACATAAAAGATGCAGTTATTGGGAAGCTTGGTGATGGTTGGATTGCTAATTGTGAGGCCTAATAATCCCTTGCAGCCTGGCTTGAGTGTCTTTGAGGCCTATGCCAAAATGAATAAGCTATGATCAATTACTGATATGAATGTTGTTTTCCTTAGTATGCTTTCGGATTTGGTTATTAATTATTGGTGTGCTACAAAGTAAGTTGTGTAAACTAGAATGAACTTATTACTATATATCAACTATGTATGGATTAAGTGTTTGACTTTCTGAGTTCTTTGTGTCGCAAATCTTCTTCTCTACCAGGGGAGAATAAGGAAGAGCTGCAGTACTCATTCAAGGGTTTGATTGATTGTCCAGTTGATAAGTTTTGGGAACTGTTAAGTGGCATGAATTTTTTTTTTCAGAGTGCTATGAAATGGTAGCTGATCTGAAGGGGAGTGAAAAATAAAATTTCATCTCAGTATACTCAAAGGTTGGAGAATTACTTTGATTATTAATGATGGTTGGATTGCTAATACTCCCTTGAATAAGCTATGATAAATAGCTTATATGAATGTTGTTTTCCTTAGTATGCATTTGGATTTGGTTATTAATTATTGGTGTGCTAAAAAGTAAGTTATGTAAACTGGAATGAACTAACCAATTATACCAACAAAACTCAACACAATGCACACATGCACTCCCCCTGTCCCAAGCACCCTTGCTTGGACTCAATGAGCTCTCATAGCTCTCTCAACAAAAGAATGAAGGTGTTACCACACCAATTAAAAAGTACTTAAGCTATTACACAAATGATCAAAATAATTGTGCAGCTCAAAACTCCAATCTACAGCCTCTGCTGCCCTTTCTGCAGAAGCTAGGGGTTGAGGGGTAAATCTAGAAATCTGAGACCCAAAAATCTGAAATCACAATACAGCTTCAATGGTAGCTCAAATTAGGTTTCCAAAGCCTAGTCTCAGTCAAATACACTTGCTTGAATGGAGTACTCACTTGGATAAGCAAGGTAACACAAGAACAACTCCCAATAGGCTTAAACTCTAAATTCAAGGGTAAAAAGGTCACTTCACAATGCAGCTTCAAGATTGACCTGCAATTGCGTTCCACAACTCTATATAGCTAAGATACACTTGCTTAAGAGATAAACTCAGTGAAGCCAGCAAGGTATAGCAATGTATGAACACAACAGCTTTATATTCTTCAAACCCTAGATTTAGCCTCTCAAGGGTAAAACTGGAATTTCACCTGAACCTGAAGGTAAAGCTGGTTTCCACAGCCTTGATAACTCAATACATACTTTCTTCACAGATTGAAACAGTGGATAGAGCAAGATAAAATAATCTTAGTTCACAATAGGCTTGAAACACATTAAACCCTAGCTTTCAGGCTCTTCAAGGGTAAATTAGGAAATTCACCTGAAACTGAAGTAGAACTTGCTTCCAACAGTATTTATATAGATAAAAAATCTTGCTTATATGATGAGAATCAAGTGTTCAGCATGGTATCAACAAGTAGAGAGCAAAACAGCAATATTAGGGTTAAAACCCTAGTTTTCAGCATATGCCAAACACATCCTTAAGATAATTCAAATTCTCCTCAACCAAAGGCTCCCTCAGCTTGAAATCAATGGATTACACTTGGTCTGAAGCGTGTACAAGGTACACCAACAAGGACTCAACAATGTAGCTCACAAAGCATCAAATAATAGCTTACAGCAGGCTTATTTTACTGCTACAGTAATATTATGGTAAAAGGGCAGTTCTGTAAATCCGTGACTGGACCTCCTTGAATTTAGTTCTCACAAATTTCTTTCATCACATTACACTCAATCAAACCACCACTTCTCAGTATATGGAAAGATAATATCAATTTTCCACTCAATATCAGCCACTCAAAAGTTTTCTCACTTTTCTGCAATAGTGCTGTTCTTAGGGACAGAATTGTAATTCTGCAGCAGCACAGCTCAGTTCATGGTTCTCCCATTCATATATTATCAATTTACATATGCTCAGATGAAAGTCACAGAAATAACTTGGTGATATTGTACTCACAGTACACACAGCAGGCTGGTGAACATTAATAAGCCTAACTAATGAGGGCTACTATACCAAAAACTGAAATGGTCAGTTTCTTGACCTTGTCTCCTCTTAATTAGCTTTATATCACCAAATTAAACATGGTCAGAAGACAGACAATCAATAAATAGCTTGAGTCTAACAAGTTAAACTCAGATATAAAGTACTTAAACCAGAAAATCAAGTCATACTAGAGGTTTGAGATGTGAAGATTGATACCAGCTTCAATGGGTACAAGCTTATATAGAAGGCTATGTGTGAGCTAGGCTTAGCCTTTGAGCAAATATGACTTTGTTTTCATATCGGTTATGTTCAAAGGTTGGAAAATTCATGGGATTAATAATAATGTTTTGATTGCTAATAATCCTTTGAAGCTTGGCTTCAAAATGAATAAAACATGATCAATTGCTGATATGAATGTTGTTTTCCTTAGTATGCTTTTGGATTTGGTTATTAATTATTGGTGTGCTACAAAGTAAGTTGTGTAAACTAGAATGAACTTATTACTATATATCAACTATATATGGATTATCTTGTTGTTTTGGAATGAATGTTAAGGTTTGTTTATGTGAAACTCTGTTACTTTTCTTCAATTTCAGTGCTTAATTCAAAACTGCCAGAGGAAATGAAGCACCCTTTATATTGAACTCAACCAAGAGCTTAGAATCTGATTCAAGTTTTCAGTTAACATTATCAAATATAATTTATTGATTTTTTTTCTTGGTACAAAAAATGAATTTCAATCTGTTGAAGAAAGTAGTAGTTTCCTTATGTATTGATTATTAAATATTGGTGTGCTACAAGGTTTGGAACCAGGCTAAAGGCCATATTTCCTCTGCTGTTGACCCTATGAATCCTGAGTTGATCATGCAAGAAAAGGCTGCAAAAGAGCAGCTGGAGGATGCCCTTCTCTGTGAGGAAATTCTTTGGGCCCAGAAGGCTAGACTAAAGTGGTGGCAAGAAAATGATACTGAGACAGTCTGGTCCTGGTTCCATGGCCTTAAAGGTGGATCTTCAGAAGGCATATGATTCAATATCTTGGTTTTGGTGACAAATGGATTGGCTGCGCCAAGAGTTGTATCTCTTCTGCAAGGTTTTCTATACTGGATAAATGGTGTTCCTGCAGGCTTCGTCAAGGATGTCCTCTATCTCCTCTGCTATTCAGCCTAGTTACAAGTGTACCATGCAGGGATGTCAAGAAAATTGCCAAGTGAATTTGTTTATACAGACTCTAAAGGTATAGAATTTTGAGTAGATGCATATTCAGAGCAAATAATGGTAACATATTACGCATTTAAAAAAATAGAGGGGCTCAACTTTCATCATAACTGGCAAAACAACTGAATCTCCATATTACCATTTACAATTAGAAGCAACAAACTAATGTAAAGCACAGTTTACAAGTGACAGACAAATGACTGTACAAAGGTCATGTTAACTAATATAGCCAAAAGTTTTCTTGGATTTGATCAATGTTGCCGACTGAAAGTGATGGCTCATCATCAGTCATAAGAAATTCAGATAAAGCATTGAGTTGCGCCTGCGATTCTGGATCAATGTCCTCCGAAAACAAGTCTTCTGCTGCTATTGTATAAGAAGAGTTCATTAATGTGATGTTGGGCAGATCATCAAACACTAGTCCTGCATGAGTCTCATCATCATCATGTGCTGGCAGTGGCTGAATATCAAAGGATGTATTGTTGGGTAGTAACGAAAATGATTTTTGGCATGAAGAAGGGCCTCTCTCTTTAAATCATGAGCATCCAGCCTTAGTAGTAAGGCCATACTCTCATAATCTCTTTCCAGTGGTCAGTGGCAAATGCAGCTCATTCTTCATATTTATCACTAGGGAATCTTCCCCCACTGCTTGCACCTTGTGTAACAAGAACGCGGAGTCACATTGTCATCTCTTCTTCAATTGTCCGTACTCTTACTCATACTTTGCCCAAAAACTGAACCCGGAATTGGACAGGATTGGAAAGCTTATACCCTGTTTCAAAAGGTTCGGAAACTCACTCTTGCAGCCATGGTTTACTGCACTTGGAAGGAGAGAATCTAGAATTTTCGATCGGTCACTCTTCCAGGGAAGCCACAGAGAACACAGCAGATATAGAAGGCTATGTGACTTTGTTTTAACTTGGAAAGAGCTCTGGATGAATTTTCAAACCAGCAGAATAGAAGTTGATCACAACCCAAAGCCATTTCCGTGGGAGGCTGAAATAGGTGAAAGCTGCTAGCATGAAGTTGGAAACCTTGCCTTTCTTTTTCTTTTTTTTAACCTGGTAGGTAAATCACACACACACAAACACACACACAACTCATTCATATTATGTATATTTAAATCCCAGAGACAGATTTAATAGAAAATGAGAATAGACTTAGAGGCTCTTCAAGTCTAATGATGGCTATGTATAATTGTGGAAGTTCTTGCAGCGTGATTTGTTCTTGATAAAATCAATTCTTAGAGAGCAAAATGGCCTTCCCCTCAAGATGGAACATCTCATGAAATTACTGTGTCATACTTTGGAACAAAAAAACAAAGAAAAGGAAAAACAATAAGGCTAGCCCAGGCTCCCGCCACTACGAGTCTAGAGAGGGTTGGGTTTACGCAGCCGCCTTACCTCTTAACAGTATCTGCAAACTACAAGCTCTTTACAAACACTTAATGGATGCACACCTTCAGGTAAATTGATATGAGATAGATACTATATTGAGTTTAAGTTGAGAGTTTCAAAATCCTGTACAAGATAAAACTAAAATACAAAACTGAGAGAGAAATGAAAATTGTTGAAGGCTAACTTTGGCCGGCAACTTATTTTTTAAAATTCGATTTCCATCAGGAACTCAGCACAGGAGATTTAAAGTAAATCTGGCTCCTCGAGTTCACCAAGAGTCCTCATTTTTTTCCGGCGCGACTGTGGAAACAAGAGCTGCTGGATCTGTTTTTTGGCAGAATCCTCAGTTTTTGCCTGCAGAGAAACACATATCGAAGCCTTCATTAGAGTTTTTAGAGCCATTTTCAGTGATGAGTTTTCTTTTGATGGTTAAATAATTATGGATAGACAACAAGATGTGCATAACAGTGCAAACACTAGTTCCGGCAACTATGGAAATGTCCACTTTATTTGGTTCTAAATCTAGAAAGTCATTCATAATCTTTTGACAATGCCAATAAAAAGAAAAGAATATGTTATAAGGTGCACATAAATTCTCATTAGAAGACTAAATTTACCATAATCCGGAGCACAATAATCAATATTCGTACCATATTGAAGTCAAGGTAGAAATGGGCATTAAAAAATATAAGTTGTGGGAAGATCTCATTATTTTGGAATGGGAAGTTTCTGCTGGTTTTGAAAACCTTGGGGGAGGTCTGTCCGTTTTACCTTACTTCATATCAGGGCGTTTATTGAATATTGCTTCATATATAAATACGTACACATAGCATGCATTTATAAGACAAAGTAGGATTAGTCCAGAAACAATTGTGACAAGAAGGCAATAGACCGTGCACTGGGTAGAAAAACCAATGGTTGACATGTGAAATAAGTATCAATATCAAGCAAGCAGACAAGGATGGATAAAAAAATTGCCACTTTACTCAGATTCCCTTAGCATAATTAGAAGCACATTAATCAATCTTTCTACCATATTGAGTCAAAAGATGATGAGCATTTGAAAGCACAAGTTGTGTAGAGATGTCATTTGGATTCCCAGGAGGTTTATGCTGACTTGGAAATTTTAAGGGACTTCTGTCCATTTTACCAAACCTTATATCAGCCCATCTATTAAATGTTGCTTCACATATGAATATATATACACATATATACATACATATATAAGACAAACGTACATTACTCTAGAAACAATTATGACACATGAAAGAAACCAATGGGTTGACATATGGATCAAGTATTAATATTAAGCAAGAAGATAAGGAGGGTTATCAACATTAAGTAAGCAGATAAGTGGGGTTAAAAATTTTCCACTTGTGAGGATTAGAATCTGGTATTGACAAATTTCGTAACAAAAGCCGGAGTCTGTATTTTTATGTTTAGGTTTTAATTAGATTTTCAAAAGTCAGTTTAGTTAGTTAGTGGTGGTACCTATGTTTGATGGTAGAATCAGAAAGTAAAATCACCTCATGAATAACTAACTTACCAATTAAGGTTCATAATCATGAATTCTTAAACTCATTTTAGGACACAATACGTACACGAATCAATTCATGAAAAAAATGTTTTAAATGCATGAAATTGTTTTTAGATAGAATACATACAAACAATAGATAAATTTAAAAAACAGTAATTAATCAAAAATTTCCAGAAAAGTTTTAGCGAGGTCAAGAATGCTTCAACCAAAGGCTCAATCGATTCAAGCAATACATTAATCAATGAATGTATGCGCGAATTGTTGTGGAAACTGGAAACTCTCTTAAATCAGAATTCTAAAAGTTAATCTTTTTCCCTGATTACAACTAAGAAACTCTAATTCTTTTAGATCCAGAGCACAATATATACACCCCTTTGGCTATCATAATAGACATAGAGATCCCTCTACATATTCTTGAAAGAATACATATACATCCAGAGAGAGATTTTTATATAGAGCATCGACGCACATAGAGTGTATAGTTTTTTTTTCATCATCTCAAATCTTGCATTAGATAATGAGTTATTATTCAAAATCTTGATCATCATAATGCTTTTGCTATACAGAAAGTTCGAGACCGAAGTATTTCTACACAATGAACACGGAACCTGGACAACTAGACAAGGAGATTAAAGTTTTTGTTGTGAAGTGGATCTGTTGACAGATCAGATGGCCTGGAGACTCAAGTGAGAGTCTGGCTTCAGTCTAGGGATCTGTTGACGGATCAGATGGCCCGGAGACTCAAGTGAGAGTTTGGCTTCAGTCTATGTCAAGAGGTAACTAGGGGTTTTCTAAGATTCGGAAAATTAGTAACCTATCTCTTTTTAATAGTTGATCTGATCACCAACAGGCCAGTGGCCTAGCGGTACCATACCCCTACTTCCCAAAGGGAGGTTACGGGTTCGAGTCTCAGTGGAGGCATGTGTATGTGAGTACCAACTAAGAAAAATAGCGGATCTGATCATCCTGGACTAGCATCACATGATTTTTCCTCGTTTGGGTTTTCCACATAAAATCGTGTACTTGTGTGATTCCTTAATATGTATGTTTTTGCTCTCGATACTTAACTGATTGATATTGTTGTGTTTTAAATATAATTGATAGATTTAAAAATCTGTTATTGGTAGTTAAAATCAGATAGATCTATTCACCCCTCCTCTAGATCTATTTTGGGCTTTGCGCACTCCAGCCAACAAAACTTGCGTTACAGTCCCAGATTTCTCACCACTTTTTGCTCAGAACCCCCCATAAACAACTGTGAAAAGAAAAATAAAAAAAGAATTATATAAGAGTATAAATTGGTCCTTTTTGTAAAAAGAAAAAGAAAAGAATGAACATTATGGTTGCTAAATTCTGGACAATGTTTCCTTTGTAGGTTTTATAAACAACACTTGCAAATCTGTCATATACTCGAACTGGAAAGTTGGGCGAGGATAAATTTGGACACGACAGACTCAACAGTACCTCAATTAAGAATAAAACCAATATAGGGAGCATAGATATCTCATGACGAAAAGTATTGAGGATCCACAAAGTTTCATCACATAAGAAATGAGGGTGCTATAAGGAGGTGGAAGGCTTCCAAAAGAAAAGATGATGATTGAAGGGAACATTGATGGAAGATTGTCAGAGGAATTGAAATTTTATAAGTTAATCAAAGGCGTGACTCCAAGTACAGTATATATGGGCAAGCTGATGTCCGAAATTTGCACCCAACGGAACCCTAGGATTATGATAAAAGTAACCAAATTAGGATGCAATAATAACTACCTCCAGAATAAGCTGATGACACTGTATCACTAAAAGAACAACAATGTACGAGAACGATAACAGAGGAGAGAGATAATATCCAAAGCCTCCTATTATCAATCGAGAAGTATGAGTCTTATAATAATCCGGGTAACTTGCAGCACATAAAAAAGTCAAAGAGTCATAGACTGCCAGCATTCCTCTAGTACCATCAGCCGATTTTCTGGGCGAACAGATCAACATAACAAGAAATTCAACCGCCCAATGCATGGGAACAAATTTTGGGCCTTTCAACTTTTAAAATGATAATTAAGAATCAGGTGGGTCAAACAGTCAAAATTATAGAAAGGCCTAGCCCAGTGCTAAAAGCTCCCACCATTGCGGAGTCTAGAGAGGGTTAGATGTACGCAACCTTACCTCCGCATTTGGATAGACTGTTTTCTATTTCAAACCTGTGACATCCAGGTCAAAATGGAGCAAACAAAACATTGCATCAAAGCCCAAAAAGTCACAATTATATTAGATTGGTTTTCAGGAAAGGAAATCTTGTAGATAAAATTTTACAGATTGAGCCAGATCCCACAACTGGGGGAAATGGTCCTTACTTTGTGGTTATACGGGAATCAAACAGACATACTGAGATGCTAGAATATCATTTAACTCAATAAATAAGTTTCTGACGTATGATTCGACACTTGATTAATCTAACCAAATTACGAATGTGATAATATTCCGAAAGCCAGAAACAGAATGCATTATGAATTTCACAAGTCAGTGACATTACATTCATTGCTTACCCTGACTTTGAAGGGAAAACGGAAGGTTCGTACTTCAATCCCAGAGCAAACTCTAACATCCATGCCAAGACTGTCGACTCCAATCAGATTAGCTCCCTACAAGAGCAAACTGAATCAAATATGGCGTACAACAAAAATACACAAAGAAACAGTAGGTGCGTTGTGCATGCCCATCCAAAGTGTTTAAGAAAGCAAACCTTGCTGCACATAATGTTTCATTCTTTTTAGATCAGGCACTTACATTTCAACTTTGTGTAGAACCATATTTCCGGTATTTCAAAATTGTCATAAAATTATTAAAAGCTCATTTCCTTTTGAAAAAATCAAGTAATAATTGCCAAAAGTGACAATTAACAGCATTTAGGTATTCAATCAAAAAAATTACTATTCCATTGCATTACCACAGGTACAAGTAAATCATATGCCATCCCAGTTTCAAAATACTTACTAATTCCCAATTCCTAAAAATTTGCTAATAAACATATCAGTGCACATGACATGTTTTGGTTCTAGCTGTCTGTCCAGATCTACATTTGGCTGACTAGCTACAAACTTTCCTGGAAATAATATTAGTATCAGAAAGAGTCCAAATAGTATTTATGCAAGCAGCACAAATCCTCCAAAGTCCAAACTCACTTTTTACTCTTTCAAATCAAATACTTTCACCAATCAGGTCCTGTAGACTTGGTTATGTGTGCACATGTGCAAGAACTATTAACATTAAACCTACATGCTTTTCTTTGTTTGAGTTTTTGTTCAAGGAAAAGATCAATACAGTATAGTAAAAATATTTTGAAAGTTCAGCAAATGTGAGGTGCTAATTTAGAGTACATCAGTGTTACACCTCATCAACAATTCTGGTTTAAACCAACAGTTTAAGGCAAAAAAAAAAAAAAAAAGGTAGAAAAATATTTTGAAGGTGACTACAACTTCAATATGACATGTATTTAACTATTGCCTTTTTTTCTCTTTCCCTTAGTTTTCTAGTTTTAGGTGCTCAGTGACCATTTAAAGAAAGAGCAGATGATGGCATTTCCTTGCCTGCAGAGATCACCCGAGCCACCATTTTTGTAGCCTCCCTCTCCCCCATTTCATTGAATTCTACAGCATGCATAGAACCACTTAATCACCTTCTATTTTGAGCCATTAAATCATTAAAAAAAACCTACCTCCTAAAGCCGCAAACCATTATCCATCAGGCCATCACCTTTACCCATCATTATTTTGTGATGGCAACCATATAGAATTACTACTTCTCATAGCTGATCAAACATCAAACCTGTCAAAACCACATCATCATCTTCACCCATTCACCCTGAAGTTTATTGGATTTCAATTTGGTTATAAATATATGCCCTATTACATGATTACTGTGCACTGCTAACACTATAGGGTGCTGGAAACAAGCCTACTAATAAGATCCTTATGAAATCAAACTCAAGGAATTTTATAACAAGTTGTGTCTAGAAGCCATATTGCATTGTGTTTCACATCTTATATGCATTAATGTAAATGAAGGTGAACACTTCTGCTAGTATCCAAATTAGTGCTTAAACCAGTTTCAGATTGTTGAAAAGTCTCTGATAAAGCATTGGTCGTGGCCTGTGGGTATAACCTGTATAGGTGTCCCATAGAGCACAACAAAGGTGTACTGAAAAAATTATTTGATTCAACCCATCAATCAATTATCACCTCAACATGGAGTCCCTTCTTGTTGCAGAGATCTTTAAGAGCACAGCTGCAGCTCACTCCCTTCTCACAGAATCGCTCTACAATTGCTGGAGTAGAGTGTACAAGAGCATCAGGCACAGCATCTTGAAATTCATCCACATTTATTGCTGACTGCATGATATTAAAAGATATGGAGTTAAATTCTGAGGAGGTTGATTCTTGTACAACAAGAATATATATATATATATATATTAAGTACTTCCCAATGTTAAGAATAGTCACACCTATTCCAACAAGATATTTCTTAAGCTTTTCACACTTCTATAAAACCGACAATTTTAAAGAGATATGATGTTTGTGTTGGACACCATTAGAGTTTTTCAGTGAACATTTTTTGGCACAGGTCATAAGCAATGACCACAAGTAGATGCTGTTTCCTTTTCATATAGAAATAAAATATTGTTGTAGGAAAGGAATAATACCATAACAGGAGTATAGATGATATATACTTAAATTTATATATGATACCATATATAATTTTCTTTTTTGTTGATACGCTGAGTATTTCACTAACAAAGGCGCCAATATAGTGGCAACCCCTTTACAAATACTCATAAATACACAAAATAATTATATAAAAAAAAATTAAAGAATATATTTGAATACATGTTCTAGCATTTAGTAATCTATATTTTATGAAAATCTACCATATGACCTCATACCATATCATATTCGTGTATCTGTTCGTATCAACGCATTAGATTTTAGTGTATTTGTCAAAAGAAAAAAGAAAAATACTCCATAAAGCCCAACCCAAACATATGACCACTGCAAGTGCAATGTACATGCCTGAACACCGTACACAGAGAACAGCTCTACTGTCATGATCTCCAACCTGTAAACAGTTGAACTAGTGCAGTTTCTGTCATCTTTGGAACTAAAGCTCAGCATTCCGCCATCTACATAAAATTAAGATGTGTGAAACGAGTGAATCCCACAGATAATTGAACATAGTAACTTGCAACTACAACAAAAACTAATTCAAGTTAGTAACAATAGCATCAGGAAAAAAATTTATATTTGCCAAGAGTTTAACAATCATAAGAGGTGGAATCTAGAAGGGTCGTCTACCCTACAGTTTAGGAGCAGCTCAGTTTCAAGCAGATGGAAGCAATGTAGCTAAATAAATAAGCCCCTTATCACCATCTTGCATGGATTCAACTCGACCAATTTCCACCATGCGGAAGGAAATATCAAAATGAATGGAAATTCTTAATCAGAATTTTGAAATTGAAGGGGCTTCTAATTAATAGAAAAGAACTTGGTGGCGAAAGCCACTTTTAAAAAGTGGTTAAATACCAGAAAAGGGAGGAATGAGGACAGGTGTTTAATTCTTACCATTGATCAAAACTAGGAAAGAAGCTGGGCAGTTCTGTGTGTGTAGTCAGAAATGCCATGAATAAGATGGAATATGTCTGAACTGGACAAGTCGTCCCATTTGTGGCTAAAAAACAGCTTGGACACTCCACTGAAGAGCACTAGCTATGAAATGAAGGAAGACGAAAGAATGACTTGATGGATATCTAAAATTAAAAGGCACTAATTGGTAAAAGGCATATAAGCCCTAACTCGAAGACAACTCCATCAGGGATCATCAAGGATTGCGCACTTCAAATTTATGAAACACAAGGACATTCACCATTCATCAAAAACTATTTTTTAATCTAAAATCAGCTGATTGTAATGTTTGGCTTTCTGGTGTGATTCACTTAATTTGATGAACCCCAAAAGGCCCAATAACTTGATTCTGTGAAAGATCTAGATCCTGACTTTAAGAAAAGGAAAATATAAAGGGGACAAAAAAGAAATGGAAAGATTTAGCTCCATTATGTCAATTCAATACTAAAGCATTCCCCATACCTTTCCAGTCGGAGGTGTAGCTATCACTATTTTCACTGCTGAAGAGCCTTCGTATATGTAATTCATCATCAATAAAGGCAGGACTGAGGCATCCCAGAATTGAGACACCATTTGAAGGATGGTCCATTTTTTTAGCATATTCCATATTAACGGACTACAGAAGAACACATATCAATAAATTATTGCAATATGGAACTATTAGTATTTGAAGCATTTGCAAATCAGAAATGAGTAATTTGTTTAAAGCTTTACACTTGCAGTTGAATATACTAAAGCATAAAGAAAGAAATACAATTGAACATTGATCCTGTAATAGATGCTACATCAAATAAAGATGGATGTGCTGCTTTTTAAAATGTAGTAGAATTTTCCGAATAAAAAAAGGTGGAGAAAAATCAATGCATTCCTTGAATTCAATCATAAGTTGGCAAGATTTCAATTTCATAAAATTTATATACATGATCCTGCAGCAATCTAAATAAAAATAATAATAATAATAATAATAATTTATGCCTTTAAATTCAATGGACAGAAGAACGAATAAAATCATATTGATGCCATAGAAGGTTAAATCTTAGTTGTGGTAATGCGGATGTGGGTGTAATGAACATTAGTAACGACATGTGAACAATGGGAGAATGTGTGTGCTTTCCCCGGTTAAACAACTCCCTCAAATAAATATTAGGAAGACACACACTTCAACCAACATCCCATGAATCAATATTTTTAATGATTTTTTTGTGAATTTTATGCAACTTATAACATTGTAGTTAAGAATTAAGAATGCCCTTACACTAAGATACTATATTACCCTAGGAGCTAGGCAACAAAGAGTAATTAATAAATAAAGTAGACATTTAAAGTCTAAGTTAAAGGAATCTTCAGTCATCATAATAATTCTCATGTAAGTAATTGATAATTCCCCTAGCACAATCATCATAATTACCATAATTGGTCAAAGAGCACCATAACCAATATAATTTGAACATTCAACTTAGTCGGCCATAAATAAAAAGGAATAATGAAAATTTACCTTAAATCTAATAAAATCTGAAACAGATAAGACTACTAATTTGTTAATACAAATATATAAGACGGACTGGAAAGAATTCTGAACAAACTTTAAAGCATGTAATTTTTAGATAGGCACTTGGGTTTCAGATGAAAAAGACATAATAGAGGAGCTCAAATATCCTCTCAACAGCAGCAAAACAAAGAGATAGAGAACCTTCAACTAATTAACAAAACTGTCCAGACAAAAAATAACACTTTTAAAGTAGCAAGATCCACTTACATGGGGGTGTTGAAATAACATAATCCCTCTATCCCATAACTCTTGTTCATCTTTCCATTTATGGTTGTCCCAAAATTTTTGTCCCATTTGAAAGTCAACGTAAAAAGATTATAATTCCCAAGATATCCTCAACTTTTGAAAATCATCCCAACTTACCCTGTATTTTAAATAGGTAGTTTTGGATTGTAGAAGGGGACAATGCATTAAATGCATGTCCCCTGAAAAAGTTGGAATTTCAACAAGGGATAAAAAATTTAGGAAGCAGGGAGTATCTTTTAAATGAAGAGGCACTAGCCACATCATCTGCCACTGCAATTGAGGTGCTCACTTAGGCGATGCCTCAGCAAACTCACCTAACTAAGGTCTTCCAAGGCTCTAGGAGTAATCTTTGCTATGCTTTAGGGAGTAGCGAGTGTCTGGGAAGTTTTCACTAAATTGTCCCATGAAGATGATTTAGTTTAAAAAAAGGGCTAGCCTGGTGCATGAGGCTCCCGTCATTGCAGGCTTAAGGAGAGTCAGATATACGCAGCCTTACCCCCACATGAGAAGAGGTTGTTTCCCATTTCAAACCTCTGACCTCCGGGTTCCAATCGAGAAACCTTACCGTTGCGCCAAGGCCTGCCCTCGTGATTTAGCATTACAAATAATTCTTTAATTGCTTTTCTAGCCGCTTCACGTGTCAAAAGCTATTTTACCTTTGGAACCTCGAGTACTTTTAGGTACTTTTAGCAGCCATAAATGCTCTAGATATATAATATATATATATATATATTTATATTTGAAACCAGATGCAATAAATGTTTCAATATAGAAAAGTCTTAATCTAATGAGATAGACTAAAAAAAAGGGCTAGCTTGGTGAATGAGGCTCCTGCCATTGCAGGCTCAAAGGAGAGTCAGATGTACGCAGTCTTACCCCTGCATGCGAAGAGGCTGTTTCCCGTTTCGAACCTCTGACCTCCTAGTTCCAATTGAGAAACCTTACCGTTGCGCCAAGGCCCGCCCTCATGATTTAGCATCAGGAATAATTCTTTCATTACATTCCTAGTCGTTGTAGGTGTCAAAATCGATTTTTCCTTTGAAACCTTGGGTACTTTTAGTAACCATAAAAGCTATAGAAATTTCTTTTTTTTTTTTTGGAAAGAAGATGCAATAAATATTTCCGTATAGAAAAGTTCTAATATAATGACATAGACTGAAAAAAAGGAATAGCCTGGTGCACGAGGCTCCCGCCATTGCACGTTCAGAGAAGGGTCAGATGTACGCAGCCTTACCCCCCACATGCGAAGAGGCTGTTTCCCGTTTCAAACCTCTGACCTCCGGATTACAATCGAGAACCCTTACCGTTGCGCCAAAGCCTGCCCTCATGATTTAGCGTAAAAATAATTCATAGATACTTTTTCTGAAAGAAGATGCAATAAATATTTCAATATAGAAAAGTCTTTATCTAATAAGATAGACCGGATATAATAATAAAAAATAAAAAAAGGCTAGCTTCCAAGGCTCCCACCATTGCACACTCAGAGGAGGGTCAGATGTATGTAGTCTTATTCCAGCATGCGAAGAGGCTATTTCCTGTTTTGAACCTTTAACTTCCAGGTTCCAATTGAGAAACCTTACCCTTTGCGCCAAGGCCCACCTCATGATTTGGTGTAATAAATACTCCCTCCGTCCCAATTTAGCCATCCATCTTTCCTTTTTGGGTTGTCCCAAGTCCAATTAAAAGGTTCAAACAACCTATTTCACATCTTTCCATAAAATACCCTTGAAGTTTTTAAAATTTTCAAACTTGATTATATATATATATATATATATATATATATATATATATATATATATATATTCAAACTTAAAAGGGTAACTTACAAAGGGACAATGCAATAATTATATGTCCCCTTAAAAAGTTCTAATCCCCAAAAAGGATATATAATATAGGACAGATAAAGTAATTCTTTTATTACTTTTCTATCTGTTGTAGGTTAAGCTTTTGGGTCAGAAGGCAAGCGTACAACCCGTTACAGTTGGTATCAGAGCCAAATCCAATCCTTGATCCGGTGTCACGCCAACGCTACTCGAGAGGTTCTCAGGTTTTCACTAGGTAGGTAGGGTGGTCCGACCGCAACGAGGACATTGCGAGTTCGAGTGAGGGAGAATATTAGGGGTGTCCCTCGGATCCGGATGAAAACGTGAAATGGATATATATGGATTAGTATGCAACACTACCCAATAGATTAAACATTTGGGTTAGAGGGCAAGCGCCCAACTGATTACAGTTGAAGCTCAAAGGAGGGTCAAATGTACGCAACCTTAAAACCAAGGGGTTGGCTCCAGTGGTGAAGCCATGGGACTTAGTGCCTCAAGAAGCATTAAGTCTCAGGTTCAAATCCTCTCAAGTTCGATCAATTCTTTAGGGGCCACGACTGTGGACATAGTCCGAGCTTTGTCCAATTCGTGTGGAGGGGTCACTTTGCACGGGTCCCGTGGATTAGTCGGGCCAAAGTCCCAGAACCCCGATTATAGGAAAAAAAAATGTACGCAACCTTACCACCGCACGTGAAGCGGCTCTTTCCTGTTTCAAACTTCTCACCTTCAGCTTTCAATTGAGAAATCTTGCGCCAAGGCTCACCATCATGATTTAGCGTAGAAAATAAATTTTTTATTGCTTTATACCCGTTGTAGGTGTGAAAAGTGCTTTTCCCTTTGAAACCTTAAGTACTTTTAATAACCATAAATGCTATAGATATTTTTTTTAAAGAGGATAGCAATAAATATTTCAATATAGAAAAGTTTTAATCTAATGAGATAGACTGAAAAAAGGGCTAGCCTAGTGCACGAGGCTCCCGCCATTCCAAGCTCAAAGGAGGGTCAGATGTACGCAGCCTTACCCCCGCATGTAAAGAGGCTGTTTCTCGTTTCGAACCTGTGACCTTCGGGTTCGAATCGAGAAACCTTACCGTTACTCCAAGGCCCACCCTCAAGATTTAGCATAAGAAATAATTCTTTTATTGCTTTTCTAGCCGCTTCAGGTGTCAAAAGCTATTTTTCCTTTCAAACTTTAAGTACTTTTAGTAGTCATAAATGCTATAGATATTTTTTCTGAAAGAATATGCAATAAATATTTCAATATAGAAAAGTTTTAATCTATTGACATAAACTAAAAAAAAGGGCTAGCCTGGTGCACGAGGCTCCTGCCATTGCAAGTTCAAGGAGGGTCAGATGTACGCAACCTTACCCCCGCATGCGAAGAGGTTGTTTCCCGTTTCGAACCTCTAACCTCCGGGTTCCAATTGAGAAACCTTATCGTTGCGCCAAAGCCCACCCTCATGATTTAGCATAACAAATAATTCTTTTATTGCTTTTCTAGCCAATTCAGGTGTCAAAAGCTATTTTTCCTTTGAAACCGTAAGTACTTTTAGTAGCCATAAATGCTTCTGAAAGAAGATGCAATAAATATTTCAATATAGAAAAATTTTAATCTAATGAGATAGATTGAAAAAAAAAAAAACACAAAAAGGGCTAGCCTGGTGCACGAGGCTCCCACCATTGCAGGCTTATAGGAGGGTCAGATGTACACAGCCTTACCTCCGCATGCGAAGAGGCTGTTTCCCGTTTCGAACCTCTGACCTCCGGGTTCCAATTGAGAAACCTTACCGTTGCGCCAAGGCCCGCCCTCATGATTTAGCATAACAAATAATTCTTTTATTACTTTTCTAGTCGCTTCGGGTGTCAAAAGCTATTTTTCCTTTAAAACCCTAAGTACTTTTAGTAGCCACAAATGCTATAGATAATTTTTCCTTAAAGAAGATGCAATAAATATTTCAAATAGAAAAGTTTAAATCTAATGAGATAGACCCAAAAAAAGGGCTAGCCCGGTGCACGAGGCTCCCACCATTGCAGGCTTATAGGAGGGTCAGATGTACACAGCCTTACCTCCGCATGCGAAGAGGCTGTTTCCCGTTTCGAACCTCTGACCTCCGGGTTCCAATTGAGAAACCTTACCGTTGCGCCAAGGCCCGCCCTCATGATTTAGCATAACAAATAATTCTTTTATTACTTTTCTAGTCGCTTCGGGTGTCAAAAGCTATTTTTCCTTTAAAACCCCAAGTACTTTTAGTAGCCACAAATGCTATAGATAATTTTTCCTTAAAGAAGATGCAATAAATATTTCAAATAGAAAAGTTTAAATCTAATGAGATAGACCCAAAAAAAGGGCTAGCCCGGTGCACGAGGCTCCCACCATTGCAGGCTTATAGGAGGGTCAGATGTACACAGCCTTACCTCCGCATGCGAAGAGGCTGTTTCCCGTTTCGAACCTCTGACCTCCGGGTTCCAATTGAGAAACCTTACCGTTGCGCCAAGGCCCGCCCTCATGATTTAGCATAACAAATAATTCTTTTATTACTTTTCTAGTCGCTTCGGGTGTCAAAAGCTATTTTTCCTTTAAAACCCTAAGTACTTTTAGTAGCCACAAATGCTATAGATAATTTTTCCTTAAAGAAGATGCAATAAATATTTCAAATAAAAAAGTTTAAATCTAATGAGATAGACCCAAAAAAAGGGCTAGCCCGGTGCACGAGGCTCTCGCCATTGCAGGCTTAGAGGAGGGTCAGATGTACGCAGCCTTACCTCCGCATGCGAAGAGGTTGTTTCCCGTTTCGAACCTCTGACCTCCGGGTTCCAATCGAGAAACCTTACCGTTGCGCCAAGGCCCGCCCTCATTATTTAGCATAACAAATAATTCTTTTATTGCTTTTCTAGCCGTTGTAGGTGTCAAAGCGATTTTCCCTTTGAAACCTTAAGTACTTTAAGTAACCATAAATGCTATAGATATTTTTTTAAAGAAGATGTAATAAATATTTCAATATAGAAAAGTATTAATCTAATGGGATAGATTGGAAAAAATAAATAAATAAAAATAAAATAAAATAAAAAAACAAGCTAGCCTAGTTCACGAGACTTCTGCCATTGTAGGCTCGGAGGAGGGTCAGATGTACGCAGCCTCACCCCCGCTTGCGAAGAGGTTGTTTTCGTTTTGAACCTCTGACCTCTAGGTTTCAATTGAGAAACCTTAGCGTTGTGCCAAAGCTCGCCATCATGATTTAGCATAATTAATAATTTTTTATTGCTTTTTTAGCCATTGTAGGTGTCAAAGCGACTTTTCCTTTGGAACCCTAAGTACTTTTAGTAAACATAAATGCTACATATAATTTTTGGAAAGAAGATGCAATGTATATTTCAATATAGAAATTTTTTAATCTAATGAGATACACTGAAATTTATTATAACCATTTGTTGATCTGAGAAATGCATACTTGAACCTCATCAACAGCACTTGATTTTCAAACTCTAAAGTAGAATTTATTTTAGAAATAAAAATCTAATCCCATTCTAGTAATAACAAAATTTGAGTACAAAAAAAGTGATCCACCTCGGATGCATTCAATTCACAATTCCTTTCAGATCTTCCTTGAAAATTTGAACTCTAACACTTTCTTTTTAAAATTTTCTAAATTCAGTATGTCAAAATAGGAATGCATTTTCTAAATCTAGAAAATATTATTGAAAAAAAAAAAAAATTGGATTGGCTTAAGAATGGACTTCTTGAATTCATGTGTTAGCAGGAAGCTATTGCAGCATGTGTTGACTATGCTGTATTACTTTACAATTGAGGGTGTAAGGCCACTATGTATGTGAAACGGCCTTCAAAATCATGCAAGGGTATTGGGGTTCTTTGAAACAGTAACATAATGGCATTATATATTGGTCATCTATGCTATAGATTCTTCAAAAAGGAGGAAATTACTCGTATCGGACACATGACACTTGAAGATTGGTATGGGATACGGGTTTGACACTATAATGGTTGCTTTCATGACAAATGAAGTACCTATGTTAAGTAGTTGAATTGTGACTGTTACATATAAACATCACTTTGAACTTGTATTCATGTTTTCCGGTTTTGGATTTTAATGAACCCAACATTAAGACACACATTGAAGTTGAACCCTGATACACATGCCCTAGTCCATGTAATGTAGACTGTCAAGGCCATTTTCTTTTTAAATCATTCGCAGTGTGTCCTCAAAATAGCAATGTCATTAATTAGTGACCTAGGAATCATTAATTAGGAATTTGCAGTTGACTGATGAGATATTTTTAGTTATTCTCTTCAATGTTTCTCTACTTGGTATACGAGTAAAAGCTTGGCCAGCCAAGTGCAGAAACATGAATTTAAGTCAAAAGACAACCATACTGTGGAAACAATGTCAGTCTACCCATCCCAACATACCACATTGGCAGGACCAGTTATGGCCTTTTCTTTATTTGTTTCTCACTTTGTTGATTCATTTATAGATATATATCATAATAGAAATTACTTTTTCTTAAACATAGAGGGACAGGAATTTTAATGGATTGCCTTAATGTATTAATATATCTAAATGTTAAAAGGTTTTCTGGAGGCTAATGTCAATCTTACCACTAACATATTGGGTTTGTTCTGTGATATATTACACGAATAAGATGTCCAGAAAACTATAGTAAATTAGGTCACTTAATTTTGTGGAAGATAAGTTCAAGAAACAAAATGAGTTCAAGCTAATAATGACTGAACAGCATTAAGATTGTATAGACAGCTATCTTACTGAAGATTTAACAGACGCTAATGAAGCCGTTTACACAGCTTATTCCTTAAAAATGGCATCTGTAAAGTTAGAAAAGGATTCCATCATTTGAAAATGTTATTAACAAAGTACTTATTGCGTTTATTGCAAGATCAGTATGGAAATTCCAATATGATTTCTAATATCTACTTTGCTGAACACGAAATGGAACTTTAATAAACAATTCCTATTCATAACAAGCAAATCAAATCATTTCCCTTGGCAATTTCATATTAGCACCAATTTCATCATGCAACTTAAGCTACGAACTATGGGACTTAAAACAAGCAATCATCCACCAGCCAGGAGTGACTTGCATAAAAAGTAAAAAAGAGAATCAATTTTTCAGATTAAGAATGCATATTAGCCATGTTATAGCAATGGCCTTTTAGTTAGATATCAAAGAGAGTTACTTCAGCACCTTTTAAGAATCAATTGATAACAATGAAGATATTAATACAACAATCACTAGTTTGTTCTGTAGTTAATTTTCATGTTCCCAGACAGTTAAATAGTCTTATCTTCATGATTAGAAACAACATCTACAAAGTTTGTCACCTAAAATATAGGTTACTAGACCAGGCATTAATCACCTTGGTAAGGCACTTGGCAAAATAGATTGGATGAACTGAGCTGAAAGTATCTGGCATCCCCCAGTAAACCGAAATATCAGACATTTCAGAACCCTCAACCTGTTTGGAAGTGCATGCCACATAAAAAATAAAATATCAACAAATTAAAAGGTGAACACCAAATGTGAAAAAAGCTATCAAGCTCAACTTGGTTCCTCACCTCAAATAAATCACCATTGGAAGGAAGAATACCATCACTGCTGTCACTGTCTAAAACATCAAATTCAACAGCAGCTACTCTTCTGTGCTCATATATTGGGATATCCATCCCGAATAAAGCATTCTGAAGGTATACAACCATATTAATGATCAATAAAGGATAGCGCAACTAAAAGTACAGTATCAATATTACTCTATTTACTATCAAACAGAGCTACAGTGTTGATGTGGTGACTAATGACACAAGTTTAATGTCCTAAAACCACATTGTATAACTGATTTCCATCATGCTATGCATCTCCATTCACGATTTTGCTGTTCAGCATCTATCTTAAGTCAATAGCAGTTGAGATGGAGTCCAAAGCAAAAAGAAAAATATGGATTCAGTAAATTACATTAAAAAGATTATCAAATTCAATGACTTGTCAGCCCAAGAGAAGAGATCCAATGTACAATTCATTGAATCAGTGATCATTTCAGTGATTTGTTGGACTATTAAAGTAAAGAGGTAAGTCACGGATTGTATATTGCCTGGATTAATATTCCTTGACACATTTGTCTATAATACATTCCTTAAGAAAAATAAAAGGTTAACAAAAATAAAAACACAGATCTATTGTAGTGAAAACATATTTTAAACATTTGCAATACCTATCTATTGAGATTAAGAACAGAACAAACATAACAAAATAAATTTCAAAAATTGATTACTTATTTGGGAAAATGATGAATGCTAATTAAAATAAGGAAGAAAAAAAAGGGAATTCAAAAGTATATAAATTCTATAACTGAATTTTGATACAAACTCAAATTAACTTTAAAAGGTATCAGGAACATGTAAGGCATAATGAGGTTTCAAGGTGTAATTTTCTGACACCAATTTTTTCCAAGATACGAATTGATCTTCAACACACACATGGTTCTTGATCTTACAGAATTTCCACGTCGAAGGAGGAAACATTAAAAGAGAATGCACGTCCTCACCACAGGGTTACTTGCTCCACGATCTTGCAAGATGTTTTCATCATCAGAAATTTCAAAAAATATATCTGAAAAATAAAGGAGGAAAATAATTAGGAAGCAGATTTATTTTATATACTCAAATTATTGTGCATATTAAAGATGTGAAGAAGCAAAACCTCCATATTCATCAACAACATACTGAAATTCAGCCCATGAGATGTTTTCATGTGGTTCATTATGTACTGTGCCAGGGAAGATCAACAAAGCACTTTTGTTGGCCTACAATAGAAACAAAATTAGACCAAATACACCATAAAAGAAAAGTAAACATCCTAGCTAAAGCAACACAAAGTATAGTGACAATTCTTAGGTTCCATTTCATATTATAATATAAAACATTGCTATTTACGTGTCAAGAAAATTACTTTCTAGCTTTATAATTAAAAAGAAAAGAATTGAGGAGGGAAAACACCTCAACAGTAGTCCTTGCTATCTCAGCATAGGGGAGCCTAGTTTCACGAACTCTTTTGCGATCTTTCAGTTCTTCAAGGGGATGATAGCCATGGTTACCCATATGATTAGACGAATCAGGAACTGAATCTGAATAATCTGCAGCAACTGAAACTTTTGAAAGGCAAATGTCATGTCCCACAGGCAACCTATGCTTAACTCCAAAAAGTGGACTCCTGCATCTAAAACTGGAGATAGAAAGACACATATTTTATTAATATCCAGGAGTGTAACTTCATAAGAAGTACATCAACTTTGAAAAACAGTAATTGGTCTAGAGCATTCAGCCATATAAAGGTATTAGCACCAGGGGGACTTGATCTTCAGATTGAAATATTAAGTACACTCTTGTATTTATAGCAAGATACATAACAGTTCCCCCCACCGCCCCCCAAACAACTGTGTGGGAGAAAAGATGTAAATTAATGGATAAAATTAACTTAAGGTGTTATTTGATAACTCAACCAATAATTAGTAATTACTTCTGAATAAGTTGAGCAATAAACCAATTAAGCAATTTGGAAATCACATAAAGGAATAAGTTTCATTTACTTCAATTTCAAACAAGTATCAGAGAAGCTCTCAACCACATTGTTTACCTAGCCCCCCATCCCCCTCCAAAAAAAAGGGACGCAATTATCAATTACAATTCAGCTCTTAAAGATTTCTGCTTTTAATTTTCAGTTTTATCAAACAGCACCTAAGTTTTTAGTCTCACTCATGTCTTCCAAATTTTTTCATACCATCTTCAGTTGAAGTTCAAGGTTCAAAAGCATTTCTGTCTACACTTTCATGAAGAGATCTATGACGTTTCCTCTGAGAGCATAAGTAACAATTAATATTGCTCAAAAACATGAAAGAAAAGAAAATTCATAAACAAACCTTAAAATAATACTCATACAGACTCTATGTTCTGGGTTTGCATGTACGTTAAAACCTCAGTAAAAGAAAAGATTCAGAATATTGTTTGATTTTGAATTTCAAATGTTAATCAAGATGTTACATTTCCCATTGAGCAAGACTACATTTCCCTGAAGTCTTTTTTTAAATTTTTAAATATTTTTTTTAGATAAAAAATATATTTTACCTGAAAAATGAAAATCTTTTCCGAGAAAAATATTTTACGTTGAAACAAACGGAGCCTAAATGTATACTTTTTAAATGGCAAGGAACATTCCAACTTCTTTTCTCTTTCTTATATGGTTCTACTTTATCAGCAACCGAAGGGAGTGCTAGTGTCATAGAAATCAACAAGGAACAACAGAATTTGGTCCAATAAAATCTAGACAAGATTGCCAAATTTCCAGTCTAAATTAGATTTTCAATTTGTGAACTTCAGTGCAACTCATTTACCAAAAATAAATATGAATATAAATATAAATAAAAAAAAGAACTTCAGTACACCTTATGGCTGAGAGGTCAGAAACTCTTTGACCATCGAGAGGAGGTTTGATCCAACTGCTAGTGATTCCATATGCTGTTGACGAACCAATCCCTTCTGCAAGAAAGAAAAAAAAAAAAACAAAACAATGCAAATGTCCTAAAAACATCTTCGAATGTGGAGGGAGGGGGTGGGAATACAAACACACAAAAAAAGGCCTAGTCCATTGCATAATGCTCCCGCTATTTTAAACCCGTGACCTCCATGTCTCAGTGGAGCAACCTTACTGTTGGTCTAAGACCCGCCCACAAAATACACACACAGATATGTAGTATACTGCAACGAAATTGACAATGAAAGAACGCAAGGCAAGTTTGTGGAAATTCATGCATAAGTTTGGGGCAACAAGAAAAAATAATACATATACATGGTCAATGAAACTCTGATAAGTTGCTGACAGAACTCGAAAACTGTAAAGAATAAAATTTTGAAAATTGTTCTGTTTTATCTGGTTCGAATTATTCATTAAATTTTTTTTTTTTAACAGATTACCTCAAGAAGTATCTGTAGAGTAAATGTTCCTACTGAAACAATTAACATATAAATGAATGAACAAGAAATGTAGAACGGGAGGACTAATTGGCTAATTGCAAAACAAACATTGAGAGGCAGCAAAATAAATACACAAGTATCCACACAGTTGCCGAAAAATGTAGAAAGAAAATCAATTGAGAAAACCCAAAGCTTCAATAAATTCAGCCTAAAACAGCTACATATATATGTTCATTACTTCATACCCTTTTCTTTTCTTCTGTTTTCTCAGCAACCGAACTGAACAGCATTAAGAATTTTCAGCCAAAAACGGCAAATCACTATACGATAAACAGTAAAAATCAACAATTTTGCCGGTGGGAAATTGAGAGGAGACTAAAACATGCAGAAACAAGTAAAGCTATATATGCATATATACAACTTAATTACTTCCCCTTCAACTAAATTTTACTCAGAAACGCAGAGATCGAAGTGGGTTTTTCAGAATTTCTCAGACAACTCGAGGTTTATCTTTTCATGCATATTATGTGTTTGTGTGTGCGCGCGTGTTTGTGTGTTTGTGTGCTTGTATGCTTGTGTGCTTGTGTGTGTGCATATATATATATATATATATGAAATTGAAAAGGGAAAACAAATAGAAATTAATGCATGTAATGGTGAGAAAAAAGCAGGGCTTTGAACAGTTACCAAGGAAGATTGATGCAGCTGCTGCGATCACCATAGATAGATAGAGAGAGAGAGAAATGATCAGAGAGAGAGTTCAGAGGTGAAGCTTCAGTTCTGCTGAGAGAATCGACTGCGAAAGCTGTGTTTTTGGTTTCTTCGAATTGGGACATCACAAAAATTTGTCTCCGAGCCAGGTTGCGTTTGATCTGTGGATGCGATACTCAAAAGAAGGTGCAGAACTGTCTTTTTCCCACCAGAAGCACGTGAGGGGTTCTTCCTTCTTTATCCGCATCGTCTCGCTCATTTTGCGCCCCTCTTGCTCACGTGTTCCTCTCCGGTGCTATTTTTATGTGCGTCATCTCTACATCATATGGTTTCATACTTTTATGTAATAATTGACATTGTTTATTATGTAATTAATACACGATGTAATGTCCATGTAATTAATAGGATGTAAAATAAAAAATAAAAATATTGTGATTAATAGGTTACATTGTTATTTTATGGCACTACATGAATGAAGTACGTTGCAAAAGCAATATAGGACAGAGGGGATTCGAATTTCTTTCTCAAAACTCTTGTACATTGATTGCAAATGAATTTGGATTATTAGATTCGACTTGAAACTTCAATTAAACTCATTTATTTGAATTTAGACTTATTTTTAAACTCGATTATACACAAGGTGAGTCCAAATAATATAGAACTCAACTTGTTACCAATTTTGAAAATATTTAGGTAAAATAAATAAATAAATAAAACTAGAAAACATTACTAGTTTATTGGGTTGTCTGTCTATTTATAATCAAAGTTTCTCATTTTCAATCTTGGTTTCAAATTTGAGTTTGGGAGCTTGTTCTTGAAGTTGAAATTGAATTTTTGAGTCAAACAAGCTTCATAGTCTAAGCTAGCAATGTTTGAGTTGAATTTGAACAATCACAAGGGAACTTGACTCAAACTCAAGCTTAGTACAATGGTGGATTTTGAAGTCGAACATAGTTCACTTCAAATTGAATTGGGTTTAATTAATCCCACATAGTTTAAATCATGGCTAAAATTGAATCTTAAATAACGTCGCAAATCAAATGAGATCAAATCTTATGTGTTGCTCAAACAATGACCCATGAGAGAGGATGAATTGAGTCTTTTCATAAATGATAGGAAATTTTGATTAACTTAATTAAAATGAAACTTCAGTAACATAAATAAGAAATATAATAAATAGGCTAATATATATATAATATATATAATTATGAAAATATATATATATATGAAAGGATAGAGAGATGCAAACGCAAAGAACACCGAGTTGTAAAGTGGTTTGGCGCCCCGCTTAGGTCCATGCGTCAAGAATACCTCTGGGAATTTCAAATTCGTTGTAGCACTCTCCTTTACGGGTAAAGAGGAAATATTTACAAAACTTCACAAACTTGTCTCTGTTACACAAAAGTAGTATTTACCCGCACAAAAACAGTGCCCAAAGATACTAAGAATAGTTTGGGGCAATAAAATATATTTTTTCATATTCATATTTAGATTTTGATCAAAATTCATAAATTTAAAAAGTGTTAATTTTAACTCCAATATCTAAATAATAAACCTCCCAAAGTTCACTTTTTGCAAAGTCCAAATTTGTACCATTGGAATATAGAAGAGAATGTCTAGTCTTGGGGAATGTGTCTTGTAATATATATATATATTACACGATAATTCTCTCGTTGTAGAAAAGGAAATGAAATTTGGGGATTAAATACATCCATGAATTTGTGTGCTTATGTAATACTATTATTTGTATAATTGTATATTTGAAATTTAGATTTGAACTAAAAAATCTTATTTGGATGTGTTTTCATATATTTTTTCATAAGTTCTTCTATGATTAAAATTCTTTGAATCTCGAGCGAAAAACACTCCTATAATATTTTATAATATACATATAGAGTATATAATTTCTTATATGTTCTAAAAAATTCTTAACATTTTGAGCAAATAAGGATCTAAATGCTAAAAAGACTAAAGTGTTCCTCTATGAAGGAATAAAAAAAGTCAAAAAAACTTAATAAAATATGAAATGACTAAAATGTTCTTTATTTTATTCTTCTTATATAATAAGGGCATTATTAGAAGAGAAAAAATTATTTTTGAAATTTTATATCTTAAAAATATTATGCGACTAAATTTGTAACGAAGCAGTGACCTCAAGCCCTTCTTTGATCATTTTTTCGAACTTAACGTACTTATATACGAAAAAAAAAAAAAAAAAAGTTTAGAGTGATATTTGCCCAAAATTTAAACATTTTGAGTTTTTTTCTCACTTGATCCAAACCCTTATCTCAAAAGTGACTCTGTTAGAAATAATGAAAAGAAGTAAAAATTACAAGTTAGTCCTATTTTTGCATTCTAAAGAGAAATATTTTCTTATAACTAGTATTATTTTTTTTAAGAAATTTATAATTAATACAATCCCTCTTTTATCTTTTAAATATATCATATTCTTTAACTACATTTTTTTTTTCAAATGCTAAAAATTTGATTGAATAAGAAGAATTTAAGGAAAAAAAAAAAAATGAAGAAGCTTTCTTTCAAATTCACATTATATTTAATTAGCACTTATATATATAGAGAGAGAGGGATTTATAAACACCTTCTCAATTTTATAGAGATTTATGTTGATTCTTGAGATTTTTTTATAGAAATATTAAGGGAAAAATTCATTAAAAAAAAAATGAAAATAATTCATTTATTATACATAAATGTAATTCATGAAAAATATTCATTGTATTTTAATATGTTCTAGGTAATTTATAACCAAAAATGAATTTAAAATACTTTGTTAATCGGGTAAGGAATATTAATTTTGGTAACAATAAGTATGCTTTCTGAATAGGTTTTAGTTATAAAATATTGGAAGGTGCTAAAAAATAAAAAATAAAAAATAAAATATTGGAAGTAGACAACGAAATTTGTATTCTATTGAGGAAAGGCATGAATGGTAATTTAGTAATAAAGGCCAGAGTGAAAAAAATAAATAAATAAATAAAGTAGAATATGTATTTATTTGAAAATATATATTAAAAGTAGGACTTTTTGTTTTCCGAAAATATTATAAGACTTATTTGTCCTTAAAGTTTAAAAGTAGGAGTAGCTGGTAATTTTTTTTTTAAAAAAAAATAATGAAGAAAACGTAAAAGATATGTGGATTCAGAAAAATGGTGAGCGCTTTTCACAAAATGATATATATATATTTTTTTTAATACTTTCCACTTCCTATAATTGTCTAAAATTTACTAATTTCATTCTTTTAATTTCAAATCCATTTCTTTAGTAAAACTGTTTTAAAAAAGATGAGAAATTCCAAAATAATAATAATAATAATTTATTTCAATTCTACTTTTAAAAAATTAACAAAATTATTGATAATGTCATTTTAGACCTCACTTGATCATTTTTCTCTACAATAGAAAAAGCTAGGTTCATGTTCTAACAATTAAATGCGGTATATAAGGGTAAAAATGAAATTTCTTTAAAAAAATGTGATGCCGTTGGAATTAAGTGAACTCTTGATCCTATGAATCATGATAACATGTACCTTTATAGAATAACCAGATTAAAGGGCTGGGTCATTCAGAAATAATTTTTACATTTTGAAATTCATTTTGAAGATGACTTGAGAAGTTAAAAATCAATTTTAAAACGAATTTTATTTTTATATCCTTTATACTTTTTTTTGTTTAACCTAGTTAGAAAAGGGAAAGAGAAGGGTCTGAGTCGAATTTGGTTCCTACACGGTTCAGGACTCTGCCAATTGAGCTCACCCATTTTTCCTTCAACTTAACTGGGTCGTATTTCGTTCCATTCTTAAAATACTCTTTACATTATTGACATGGGCATACAAAGAGAGTCAAAATTAAGAGGCAAACAACATATATAATTAATCAGCCGTAGATGGCCTATTATAACATTTATGCCATATATATAACTTTATTTAGTCATTTAATTTGTCTATTGGGACAAATTTTAGTACTTATTCCGTCCCAAAAAAAATGTCCACCTTTTTTTTTTTTTTGTGATTGTCCAAAATAGTTATCTCAATTTAAAATTCAATATCTTATTTTTTAATATTCCTAATATACTTACCTTGCCAAGTTATAAAAACAATTAAAGTTTGTTAACGTACCATATAAGTATATATTTAGAAATTCATTTCCTACTATTATAAGGCACGAAAAAAAAATAAATAAATAACCAGAGAGTGTAACTAGCTTCAAACAAATTTAAATCATAAGTTGACTAAATTACTTAAACTATTTTTTAAAATATATATAAATAAATAATTTTGTAAAATGACCAAAAAGGACACTATTGGAAAATGTCCCTCACATTCAAAAAAACACTCCTAAAGTTTCAATTTGGTACAAATAGGTCCATTTGACAAATTTAAACCCCAAGTTGACTAAATTACCCTTACTGAACCATTTTATTAAATATATATAAATAAATCATTTTGTAAAATAACCGAAAAGGGCACTATTGGAAGACACTGGCAATGGACAAATAAAGATAAAAATAAAAAATAAAAATAAAAGAATAAAAGTATAAAATAAAAGTAAAGATAAAAATAAAAAATAGAAAACGAAAATAAAGTGCAAACTAAAGAAAACAATTCTACTCAAAATTTCGAAAACCAGTGCACATTGATATTGAGATTTTTTTTTTTGTTTTGTTTCACAGTGTTGGTATGGACAAATAATAATAAATAAATAGTAGAAAACAGTAAACTGAAATTTCAAAAAATTAAAATCCTTTGTAATGACCCAAACCAGTAGATCCGAACCGCTAACCGGGTCCTTACCCGTACCCGAGGTCACCTAAGTCAACGCCATTAAGTCCGGTGCTCTTACATCATTATTATATCATATATATGATCCATTAAAACCTTAAGCGACTTGCCAAGACTCGTGGTTAATCGTACCGGAAAGAGGGAGCAAAGTGTGCAAACAGCAGCAAACCGGTCAACCGAAATAGCTCATGTGCCAGTCAACCGAAATGGCCATTTCAGTCGGCCGGTTGTGATCCAAACAGTAAATGAGGCTACTGGAAGTTTCGGTCGACCGAAAAATGACCATACGAGCAAGGAAAATTGCAATTGAACTGCTATGAACATAGAAATGAGCAAAAGTCTTCTATGGAACTTTAAACTGAAAAAACCTATACAAGTACATACAAAATCATTGAAATACGGTTTACAATAACCATTTAAGTCAGTTAG